ATATTTAAGAGACGACAAAATTCCACCAGAAAAATCTTAGAAATTATTAACACATTCAGTAAAGTGGCAGGTTACAAAATTAACCTACAAAAGTCTGTAGCCTTTCTATATACCAATAACAAGCAATCAGAGAAAGAGCACATGGAAACACTCCCCTTCACGAAAGTTGCAAAAAAAATAAAATATCTCAGAATAAACCTGACCAAAGACATAAAAGAGCTCTACAATGAAAATTTTAAATCCTTAAAGAAAGAGATTGAGGAAGACATCAGAAGATGGAAGGACCTCCCATGCTCATGGATTAGAAGAATTAATATTGTGAAAATGACCACCCTACCAAAAGTCATTTATAGATTCAATGCAATGCCAATCAAAATCTCCATGACATTTTTCACAGAATTGGAAAAAAATCATCCTAAGCTTCATATGGAAGCATAAAACACCTTGGATAGTCAAAACAACCCTGAGCACTAAGAGTAATGTCGGGGGGATTCACTATATCAGATTTTAAGCTGTATTACAGAGCTATAGTCATAAAAACAACATGGTACTGGCACAAAAATAGACCCATAGATCAATGGAACAAAATTAAAGACCCAAATATGAGCAAATGCAGTTTCAGCCACCTGATATTTGACAAAGGGGCCAAGAACATTTACTGGAGGAAAGACAGCATGTTCAGCAAATGGTGCTGGCAAAACTGGATCTCCACCTGTAGAAGGATGAAACTAAACCCCTATCTTTCACCCTGCACGATTCCAAATGGATCAAAGACCTCAATGTAAAGCCTGAAACTTGGAAAAAAACTACAAGGTATAGGTATAGGAAAAGATTTTCTAAACCGGAAATCAATTGCTCAGGAAACAAGGGCAAGAATTAACAAATGGAACCTCATTAAACTAAAAAGTTTCTGTATATCAAAGGAGGCAACCAGGGAAGCAAACAGAAAACCCACAGAATGGGAGAAAATCTTCACCAGCGACACATCTGACAGAGCTTTAATAACCAGAATATATAACGAACTCAAAAAACAGAGAACCAAGACAAGAAGCAACCCAATTAAAAGATGGGCTAA